AAAGACAGCTTTTTCAGTCTCCAGGCTGTTGTTCAGAGTCAAGACTGTTCAGGTCAGGGCCAGGCGAGGCCAAACGAGGCGAAAGCAGGCGGTGAATGTGAGTGCATAGCAAACCGTCGCCGCGACGCGTGACACAACCGACGCAGCCCTGCCCAGGTTCACCATGGTCAGCTCGTCAGCTCATTGGGGGCCGGTGGATATCGCGGCGAGGCGGCGTATGCAAAGAATACTAGACCAGGTAGCGTAGGATTTTCACTATGGAACCTCAAAAACACCAGAACTGCGGGGGGTGTATGACACGTCGGCTCCCGCTACGAGTGCCATAGTGGCTGAGGGTAATTCAGAGAGTCTCTTGTTCAGTAGACGAGTGGCTGGTTCTGGCCCTCTCTCTCATATGAACAGTGTAGAAGAGCCTCATTGTTGCAGTGAGTCACGGGATAGACGCCGATTCAGGCAATCGAAATACGGTAACACGAGGCCGCGAATTTGTATAGCAAACAGTCGCATTTGAGGTGGAATGAAAGAGAAAATCAAGAGTGAGATTCAGTACAGCTTACGCCACTAAGGCACCGTTACGGGGATGAAGTGGGGGTGGCACAGGGTACGGAGTACTGATGCCGTACCAATGCTGACATAGCATGCTGATATAATCATCACGGAGCGGTGCAATCCCTCGCCCAATGAGCTTGCAACATACGCCGGAGTGCCGCTCCGGGAGTAAATGACGGGACCTCCTTCCCCTGGGTACTGTCTCGCGATTCTACTCCAAGCTGACTTGTTTATATCTCAAATTACTGGCCTGATCTTTGATCTCAAATCCTTACTGATGTTTAATCGACATCATAGAAATGCCCTCTCACAGAATTAACTAGGGAATTATTTAAGGTTTTAAAATGTGACAAAGTCAGTCAGGTTGATGGAAAGAAACAGCAAGCGTCATTTTACCGTTCATGTGCCTTTAGGAAATGGACCTTCGAGGGTATAGCAAGATTGTGTATGTAGATATCAATAACCACACAAAGGGGGAAAAAGAGTTAGCCCCCCGGCGCTGAACTGGGGACTATATCTCTTCGCACTCATACTGGGACTCGAACTCGAACTCGTAGCCTGTCATCGAGTGAGCTATCGGTGCTGCTCCTGAGACTAACCTTGACTTTTACATTGAAGGGTTGCTTCCGAAACTCCCGTGTTCGAGATCGATCTTTTTGGAATCCTTGACATCCAGAACGACGGTCATGTCCGGGCGCATCTCGATATACTTGGTGGCAACCAACAAACCTCCCGCCAGGTACTGACTAGTCAGCGACTTGGCTCCTTTCCTCTTCTTGGACAAGATGTTCAGTTGGAACCTATTCAATACGGATTACACAACAGACAGTACACGCCAACGAGGCCAATGACACTATCACAATGCTCTAGTCCTCTTCGACCGAAAGAACCCACCCAGTGCTCCCATCAGTTGAGGCAGCCCCTTCTCATGGCTATCGCCACTCATACCACCTCGAATCCAGCCAGGAAGCTTGCCCCGGATCCTCTCCGTCCCATACCTGCGATCCACGAGAACGATGGCCGCATAGTCACCCATGTGTCTGATAGCCCGCCCAATACTCTGGTTCACGGCTCGCATGCACGCGTTCTCGTAGAAGTCCCTCGCTGTCTGCTTCGCCACCACCAACGCCTCATCTCTCGACATCTTCGCCGTGCCGTCAGGATCGGTCAGTCGCTGAACAGTCGTGGTCTCGATGTATTCTGTCTTGGCCTTCCACTCGGGGGAATTGATGTTCGGGTATGGCAGGCCTACGATGATGACGCACCGACCTAGACGATCGGAAAAGTTGATGCCCTCGCTCATCTTGCCTCCGACGACGCTGAGCAGCAGGGCGCCTCGAGGTTTGGGTGGCGCTCCCTTTTCTGCGTCAGTGCCGTCGCCTAGGATGGCTTGGCTGTACGCTTCCAGCACCTCGTCGCTGGATCCGCCGCGGGTTTCTTTGAATGCCTGCTTTCGTTCCTGAAGGCGCTGCCATATTGACTTGGGCTCCCCGGCAGCTCGACTATCCCACACTGCAACAACTTCGTCGAGATACCCGTAGCTTGGGAAGAACACGACAACGCCATCTGGGACGACGTTGCACATGTTCAGAATGGCCAGGCCAAGCTGGTTTACCATAGCCTTGTCGGCCCTGCGCTGGAAGCTGAACTCAAAGGTCGAATTGATGTCCCGATTTGGGCCGGGCCGTGTGCCTGCCAAGGTCCACACACAGAGGTTAGACGGTGGAATGACATGCCCGCAACTGAGGGTGGTGAGTTTTGAGGTGGAAAGGTATGGGAAGAGATGATCCTTGTAGTCGTCGAATGGGGACATGGTGCCGCCAGCGAGGATGACCGCTCTGGCGCTCGTGGCGATAGTTGAGAAGGCGTGTGTTGGCGCCAGCAGTAGGTAAGAAAGCTGGATATCTGGCGGGTTCGTGGCAAGCTTTTCGTAGAAAATGCGCCCCTCGGAGCTCAGATTGGTGAGAGAGATTAGGAATGAGGATAGTATGTGAAGAACAGGCGTGGATGATCTCGGCGGTGCCTTGACGTGGCCCGCGTCGGCGGCTTCTTCCTCAACATGGGCAACATAGCTCTCGATCTTGTAGGCGAGCTTTGACTCTTGAATGTACTGAATCAGACGGAAGAGATTGATCTGATCTACTCCCTTGCAGCGGAGGAGGACCTTGGAGTCGACGATGCCCTGGGTACTCTGCAACATGTTAGTCAACATAGACATGAGGTTTCGGTCATTGAGTCCTACCTTGAGCTTCGATTGGCCATCCATCCACTCGCTGAGACCCTCGACAACTCTGCCCACCTGACCGACCATGACTCGGTTCTCTCCCTTCAACTTCTTGCCAAACTTCTTGACGTATATGCCGAGCATCTGTCGTGCCCTCCTCAGCTCGCTTAGCCTCACCTCGGACGCATACACGTTGGCTACCGCGTCCATGATGTTATGCGCCTCGTCAACAATAACCACATTGCCCTCCAACTTGATGCCGAGCGCGTCTCTTGCATTTTTCTGCAGAAGCAAAGGGTACGGCAGAGTGATAATTTCGGCACCAGCGATGGCCGCGCGTGATGCATAGTATGGACACACAGACAGCTTCTTCCCCAGATGATACAGGTCTTCAATGTCTGGCAACGTGGCGTGGGCAGTGTCCCTGAATTGATGCGTCTCGGCAATGTTATCTTCTTTCAGGACGTGTGGGCACTTCTCCTTGGATTTCGGCTTCTGCAGTTCCGCGCAACGGTCATTGATGGCGGATAAGCTACCGAGGCGCGAGACAGAGGGGTTGATGCAGAGTTTCCGTCGTGATGATAGAGGCAGGTGCTTGACGGGTTCTTTGGCAGGTTGATCGTCTTCACTATGGCGTTGCACAATCGACTGAGGCACGGAGGAGGAGAACGATGGTCGTCGCAGTTCATGGATGAATTGGGTGAGTTGGGAATGCGTCCTTGACGTGTAGTATATCTGATAGAAATCATGTTACCAACGTGCCCAGCAACATCAGGGGCTCTGCGCACCTTTACTCCATCAGCAACCTTGTCCTCCTCATGCTCGGGTTTGAGACTTCCCAAGCCAAATCTGGAGAGAATGTCCTTTGTCTCCTTGCTGAGACCGCTCATGGCGTCGCCGTCATTGGCTGACCCAGCCGCATCTGGCTCATCGAGCAACCATTCGTCGTCCTCTTCACCATTAGTAGCACGAGGCTTTGATCTTGAGGGGCCATCGTCGAAACGGCGACGCTTAGCACTGCGAGCTTCAATGGCCTTTTCTTTTTGACGAATCTGTTCCAACTTTTTCTCTCGCTCTTCCCAGGTCCGGGCGAGCTCATCTCTTTTCCGGCGCAGCATCTGCTCCACAATCCAGTCGGGCTCATCCTTGAAGTCGTCCATGTTGACTTTGAGAGACGCCTCGTGTTCCTCAACACGCTGATTCCGCAGCCATGTTAATGAGGCGCATATTAGTGAAAGTGATTTGCCCTGACACGAGTGTTAGCACCTAGGGACACGCATGTATTATTGACCGTTTCCTACCGTGCCAGTCGGACTCTCGAGAATGCCGACCTGTCCATTTCCCTGCTGCAATACGCCAAAAGCGGCTTTCATGAAGTCAGTCTGCACATCGTAAGGCGTGTAAGGGTGGTTGAAGTCAATGCCGTCAGGGACAGTCATGTCACCGGGCTTGTCTGCCATGACGAAGTGACATGAGAGATGGGCCAGCGCCGCGAAGTTTTTGAAGCTAGCTAGTATGCGACGAAGAAGAGGGGATCTTGGATCCAATATCAGCAAGCATACAATGATCGATGTGGGTATGGTATTGTGAGTCCCGGAGCGTCGACACACGTGCATGCAGAGGGTCGCAAGGGTCACGGTTGTCAGGTGCATTGGATAGAGAGAACACAGACCCAATAAGCTCACCTCGGTGAGGGACAAGCATGGACCAGTCCCGTCCAAGACGATGGTCAGGGAGATCGGTGAGCTGTGGACCGGGCTGGAAGCAGGAAGGTGGGGCTACACGAAAACAACTGGGTCAGGAGGAAAATCCCATGCTGACATAACGCACACCTCCAGAGTCCAGGGTCCCTTTCAGCACGAGAGACTTTAGGGCTGGCTGCCCTCCGCCCCGCCAATTGCCCGAGGCTCTGCCGCCAGCCTGCCACCACCATCACAAATTTCCTCTCTTGCGAACTTTTTGCGAAAGGAAGTTCCTCAGCGATACTAACCACCACAAGTCGACCACTCCCACAGCCGACGCCATGCCTACCCGATTCTCGCGCACCCGCAAGCAGTACGTCTACCAATCCCGCTCCGCTCCGATTCTATAAATCTGGTCTTTATCCTTCTCGACGGTTTCGCGCGGGCGCGTAGTCGTTTTTGCCGATGGCTTGATGATGCCAGCGAACCGTCGTGAGGGATGGGAAGGATGAAAAAAGAAGGAACACATACACAATGATGTTTGGCTTTTTGCCATGTCAGGCGCGATGGTTAGAGGGGGTCAAGCATGTTGAAAACAAGGGCGTCAACATTGCTTCCCCAGCAAAAAGGAGGTTTATTACACCCGTTCCTTCACTCTTTCCTCTGGTGATACAGAGACGTGAGTAGAGGACGGGGCGTGATGTCCACCAACTCTGCCATTCTGCGATCCTGGGAGAACTGTCTTCGTTTCCAAATGTACCCGGAAGCTGACTTTCTCTTTTTCTCTTTTTGTAGCCGCGGACACGTCTCCGCCGGTCACGGACGTGTTGGCAAGCACCGCAAGCATCCCGGTGGTCGTGGTCTGGCCGGTGGTCAGCACCACCACCGCACCAACTTGGACAAGTACCATCCCGGTATGTCAATTCTGATCTCAAACGGAACCATGAACGTCTTGCTAACAATCTCACAGGTTACTTCGGTAAGGTCGGTATGCGTTACTTCCACAAGCAGCAAGCGTATGTTCCCTCCAACTAGGTCGCCACTAGATGTCACACTAACATTGTGTAGCCACTTCTGGAAGCCCGTCATCAACCTTGACAAGCTCTGGACCCTCGTCCCCGCTGAGAAGCGCGAGGAGTACCTCGCCGGCAAGGGCGACAAGGTCCCCGTCATCGACCTCCTCCCCTTCGGCTACTCCAAGGTCCTCGGCAAGGGCCGCCTCCCCGAGGTCCCCATCGTCGTCAAGGCTCGCTGGGTCTCCAAGCTGGCCGAGAAGAAGATCACCGAGGCCGGTGGTGTCGTTGAGCTCGTCGCATAAGTTCAAGTCAAAATCAATCATACCAACTCTTCGAAGGATGATGTGCAACGGTACTTGGGAATGATGGCTTCATAGCCACGGGTCAAGCGGACGGCGTTCTGCGAACATTTTGTGTCATCCACAGTTAAGAGCTTGTGGGTACACGGGAAAAGGGCCGATGGAAAAGCGGTTCTTCATTTACATAATGATCCGACCTCAAGGAGTTGACGAATAAAAAAACGAAAGGCTCTTCCAAATCAAAAGTTCATGGCTTGATGATATCCGGTTTAGTGGCGTGTCTAGGATTCCATAAGGCGGACGGGGTACGATTTGAAATGGTATTACTTTTTACGTCTACTCGTCTTGCATATATTTGATCCGTCCGAACAGCGCATCTCGACATGATGTATGCTTTTCCCAAGCCTTGGCCTCTCACTACTCCGGCATGCTACCTCCATACTCCCAATTCCCATATGTTCGTCCATCGTTTGTATAAATACATGTCCGAGCGCCATACCCATGCATCCATTCACTCAATGCTTAATGTGACCCTAAGACACTCGCCGTTGGTATCGAAATCTCTTTTTTCAGTGTCAAAACATTACCATTACGCCTCGAGAATATCCATCTCATCATCATCATCCATCTCCACCGACTGCTTGGGCGTGGGCTCCCGTAGGAACTCGTGCTCCAACGCGTCCTTGGCACTGATGCGTCGAGCAGGATCGAGCTCCATGCAGCGCTCCAGGAAGTCGACAGCCAGCTTCTCCTCTTCTGTCAGGGGAATACCAGGCTGACCGTCCTTACCGCCATCAGTGCGGCATGTGGACCATAGAATAATCTTCCCCAGCGAGAACCCTGCGTTGCCGACGGTAGGAATGTTGGTCTCGAACATGCACCCATGGAGAAGGCCGGCCTGCTTCATGCGTTTGACACCAAAGATGGTGGCTATCTCAATCATGGCCTCAACGTCGTCAGCGCTGTTGAAAAAGGGGAATCGCTTGCTCATGATTGTCAAAAGGATGACACCCGCTGACCAGATGTCAATCTTGGTCGTCTGCTCGGTACACTTGAAAAGCACCTCGGGGGCACGGAAACCTCTCGTGCCAGCACGGTTCGCCCTCCTGGACGGCCGAGTGTCTGTCTTGGGGTAGCCCTGCTGAGGGCCGTTTTGGGATGCCGCGCTGTTGGTGATTCTCTGTTTGCGGACGTCTTTGCTCTCGTGGCAAAGACAAGGCTTGCTGTCGGAACCCTCACGTTCAGCAAGACCAAAGTCGACCAGCACACCGCGTCGTGATTGGGGGTCATAGAGGAAGTTTGTTGGTTTTATATCGCGATGGAGAATCTTGTGTTCGTGGACGGCCTTCAGGGCGGTGAACAAGCTGCGAAGGTAGATGGCCATATCCGAGACCTTCATCTGGCGGAAGTAATCACGGAAATCCTCGTGACGGAAGTAGGGCAGTATAGCAATGACCTGGTCGGTAGACCGGAAAGCTGTGATCAAGGGGCACACGGCGGCACAGTTCCTCAAGTCGTGCAGGAGCTCGAGCTCGTTGAGGATGCGGTTGGGGCTTGAGGTGACATAGATCTTCTTGATGGCGACATATCGGGCACGGCGACGTTCGCGGGTTACTAATGTGTTGCTGGCGTTGGGCTTCAGGGGCGGCGACGTCCACTTGGCAGCGAGGTTGTCCTTTTCTTCGAGATCCCAGCTGTTATCGTAGAACTCGTATTGGAGGTCCTCTGCCTTGTAGACTGTCGAGAAAGTGCCTGCAGAGGGCGTTGATTAGTGGGAAACAACAGACAAAGCAACAATAGAGTGACATACCTTCACCAATTCTCTTAATTAGGCGATACCTTTGGGGAAAGCCGGGAAAGGTATCTTGTAAACGGTCCATGTCGCGTTGGACGCCCGTGTCAACAACCTCGTCCTCATCGGAGCTCTCGTCGGAGGGTTCCTCGACCTCCTCCTCCTCCTCCTCCTCCTCGACCTCTTCGGTGTGTTGTTCCGACTCGGCCATCATCTCGGTGTCTTCTGTGCGGGCGTGGGGGGGATCTTCGTGGATTTCAAAGTCGTCGCGGCTGCGTTTACGTGTGGCCGTGGCCATGGAGTGCGGCGGTCTCGACTCTGCGGTCATGGGGCGGTGGGCCAATCGCAAGTCTGCCGGGGCGGTAGAAGTGAGTGCCGGGGCATGGAAGGGAGAGGGCGCGCGTGTAGAGTTCGAGACAGTGTCTAGGGCTGGGACGGTGGTTGAAGCTTGGTATGGCTGCGGTGGATAGGTGTGTGGTTGATTCGGGTGGTTTTGGTGATGGTGGTGGTGTTGCGGGTTTTGCTGCGGATAGTGCTGGTTTTGTTGGTGTTGTGATTGTGGTTGCGATTGTGGTGGTGGTGGAGGAAGAGGGTGTGGTGTCTGGCGGCGTTGGTGTTGTGGCGGCGGAGTGGGCGTTGGTGTTGTTGCCCAATCGTGCCGGTGCCAGGCCTGGACGTCGAGGGTCTGGCCAAATCGAGTCAATTGATCGATAGCATCCAGGTTGGGTTGACTGAGGCCAGCTGAGGAATCTCGCTGGGTTGTACACTGCGTCATCCGAGGCTGTGGTGGAAGGAATTGAGAGAATGTTTTGTTGTATTATTCGATTGAGTTTGAGACGGCGGTGGTCTTCTTTGGGAGTTTTTCGCAGTACAAGCTGTTCGTTGCGGTAGGTATAGTGAAGTAGAGGTACCTGAGAACCTGAGATGCTCCGCAGTCTGCAGTGTACAAGGACTTGATGTATGGTGAGGTGTCTTGGGAGGTGACCAAGGTTATAATTGGACGTTCTTGTTTTTCGAATTTCTTTTTTTTCTTTGCATCTGGCAGCAGGTGATTACCTTGTGTAGGAGAGAGGTGGGAATCTTTTGGATTTCTTTTGGTCTTGGTGCGTCCCATCTGATGCACGTCGGCGGGCTCTTCTCAGTCTGGTGCTCTTTTCGCATTCGTCCTTTTGGCGGCTGGCCCCCGGGTCTACCACCTAAAAGGTACATCGCGGGTGGTCCCTGGATGGCCCTCGAATAGCCCCAAATGGCACGAAATAGTTGCAATGGAGGGGCAGTTTGCGGTATAAACAGTGCCATGGTCCCCTGGAAAACATTGCGCTGACCAATCATCCCGCTTATTCTGACCCCGCACCTCACCAAAAAGTGACTTTCCCTCAAGAGGTGGCAGAACTGCCAGACACTGCCCGGTCGCGTCAGACTCCGAAAGAAAACAATAAACAAATTCCCACTTGGTTGCTAGGCGCATTTTGTCCCCCCCCCCACCCTCCCATCTGAAAGTAACTAATCACAATTAATCACCTACTGACATTGACACACATACAAGGCCAAAACACATCGTCAACACCGCAGGCCGTTTTGCGCTTCCTTCGCCTTTCTTTGCTTCCCTTCCTGGCGCTGTGCATTACTAACCCACCAGCTACTTGCAACACCACACACCAGGCCACACGAGAACACCACGGCCGGTCACAGACACTGTCTGGCCCCTCCTCACTCTCTCTCGTTCTATTTCATCCTTTTGATTCCCATCTTCTTCTTCGTCCCCTCCTCCTCCCCCCGCCTCTCGATCGCGTTCCGTCGCTGGGTGCGCACACCTCGACCAGACCGCAGCCATGGACTCGGTCGTATTCGACATCAACGATGCGCTCAAGCATTACATGAGCGATCCCGCCAGTATTCCCACCCCGGAAGCTGATGGCTCCCTCTTCGACTACGAAAATGACCCCGAAGGCCTCACCGCCGCCGTCATCAACCCGGTCCTCAACCCCATCATTGATGCCGTCGCTGAGAACCCCGAGGCCATCACACGCAGTGCCCACCTCGACTCACTGCAGTTCCTCCTAAAGTGCGCACCCATCTCCCCTCATCCTTCAGATCCCTCTCTTTTGTTGTCCTCCTTTTCGTCGCCTTCCGCTTCCAGGTCTCTTAATGAGCGCCATTCTGAGCTGTTCAACTCCTCTAGGTATACCGCCTTCCTCCCGCCACAGGTTCTTAGCAAGATCTTCGACTTGATCATGTCAGGTCTGGCCGCTGAGGGCGATGCGATAAACCACGACCTCGAGTCTCCCGACGAACAAGAGACACTCGCCCACCACAAGCAGCTCCTCGAGATTTACGGCTTCCTTCTCCAATGGACCATTGCTGCTGTCGAGACCAAGGCCGCCGAAAAGTCCTCAACAGCACCAGTCGCAAGAGGTCGCGGCAAGCCAAAGAAGAATGCGCCCAGAGACAAGGACGGAGTATGGGACTCGGCAACCCAGCTGCAGTCTGCTCTCGACATCATGAGCAAAGTCCTCAAGCTCAAGCTAACCAAGATCTTCCTGACAACCTCCGAAAGAGATACTTTCATCGGCCTGTTGACTCGTCCCGTCTACATGGTCCTCGAGAGCGAGCAGCGCGTCAAGAGCACATCTATCCGCATGCACGCCTTCAAGGTGCTCTGCATCGCTGTCAAGCACCACGGTCACGCATACGGTACGTCGTCTCCTGCGGCGCACTCTTGCGCATCCAAACTGACTCTCAGCAGCGGCCCAGATCTCCATCGTCCAAAACCTCACATACTTCGAGCACCTTTCCGAGCCCATGGCCGAGTTCCTCCACATCCTTGCCGAGACCTACGACTACCCACAGCTTGCCGATGAGATCCTTCGTGAGCTCAGTAACAAGGAGTTCAACTCCAACGACACCAAGGGCCCCAAGTCCGTCTCTCAATTCATCGTCAAGCTCTCCGAGCTGGCCCCAAGGCTGGTCATTAAGCAAATGACCATGCTCGCAAAACAACTAGACAGCGAGGTAATTCTTCCTCGTCGCATATCAGTAAAGCATTGCTAACGAGTTTCAAAGTCGTACACACTGCGTTGCTCTCTCATCGAGGTTTGCGGAAATATGGTTGCCCACCTGGTCAAGCAGGACGAGCGCGGCGAAAACCACAAGTCTCAGCTCAACGCCTTCTTCGACGTCCTTGAAGAGCGCTTCCTCGATATCAACCCCTACTGCAGATGCAGAGCCATTCAAGTCTACGTCAAGCTGTGCGACCTCGAACAAAAGTTCCCCAAACGACGACAACGCGCTGCCGAAATGGCCTGCCGCAGCCTCGAGGACAAGAGCAGTCACGTCAGGAGGAATGCTATCAAGCTTCTGGGGGCTCTTATCAAGACACACCCTTTCACAGTCATGCACGGCGCTCAGCTGTCCCGCAAGGAATGGCAGGCACGCCTTGACAAGGTGGACGAGGAGCTGAATGCGCTCAAGCCGCCCGAAGGCGCTCCAGGCCTCGGCGAAGGAGCCGACACCACTGTTGACCAGCAGCTTCTCGACGATGCGACGCAGATTGAGCAGTCGCCCCAGAAGCCCGTACCCATGTCCGACGAGCAAAAGTTCGAGGCGGTCCGCAAGGCCCGCGAAGAGGCCGCCACGTCCGAGGCCATCGAAAAGCTTACCCTCACCAAGCGATACTACTCTGAGGCTCTGAAGTTCATCGACGTCCTTCACGAGGCTACTGGCACCGTTTGCCAGCTGCTAGGATCACGCAATAAGAGCGAGGTTATCGAGGCCATGGATTACTTCGAAGTTGGCGACGCCTACAACATCGAGCAGAACAAGGTTGGCATCCGACGCATGCTGCGTCTCATTTGGACCAAGGGCAACAGTGATGAGGGCAAGGGCGTTCAGAGCCATCTCATCGATGTCTACAAGCGTCTGTTCTTCGAGGCGCCCGACTCCTTCACTTCCAACGATGCAGCCAACTTCATCGCCCGCAACATGATCAGTTTGACATTTGGCGCAACTCCCGCCGAGTTGACCTCGTTGGAGCAACTGCTCAGCACCATGATGAAGCAAGGCTTGGTCCCTGAAATCGTTATCGCCAAGCTTTGGCAGGTCTACGGCGTGCAGAAGCGCGAGATTTCCAGGACACAACGTCGCGGCGCCATCATTGTGCTCGGCATGCTGGCGACAGCCAATCCCGAGATTGTTGTTGGAGAGATGGAGACAATGTTGCGCACTGGTTTGGGTTCCCATGGCCGCTCTGATCTTCAGTTGGCCAAGTACACTTGCATTGCCCTTCGCCGCATCAACCCGACTGGCCGTCAAGCAAAGGAGTCTGCCGTCAAGTTCTCTAGACTCCCGAACGACCACGCCGTTTTGTCCAAATTGGCTTCCATCACCGAAGTTCCATCCGAGAGCAAGGAATGGTATGGTGTTGCAGAGCAAGCAATCAACGCGATTTACGCCATCTCCAAGCACCCCGACACGCTCTGCTCCGATATTATTCGTCACAAGACGAAGCAAGTTTTTGCTGCTCCCCGATCGCGCTCAGCCTCGCAGACTAGCTCGCAGCCGAGCTCACGACCAGTCTCGCGAGACGATGCTGACTCTGTTTCCGTTGACGAGGATGGAAACGAGACTATTGTTGCTCCGGCACCGCAGCCAAAGAAGCGCGATGCCGCTGTCGGCCTGTCTCAACTTCTCTTCATCGTTGGTCATGTTGCCATCAAGCAAATTGTGCACCTTGAACTCTGCGAACTTGACTTCAAGCGCCGTAAGCAGGAGCAGGAGAAGGAGAAGACTGCAGACAAATCTACCGGCCAGGCGGGCAAGAAGGACGAGCCCGATGACCTGGATTTGATTGGTGGCACGACTGAGGATGACTTTACCGAAGCCATGGCGCACATTCGTGAGCGTGAGCTTCTCTTTGGCCCCGAGTCTCTGTTAGCACAGTTTGGACCTCTGGTGTCTGAAATATGCGCCAACAACACCACGTACGCCGACAAGGGACTGCAGGCCGCCGCAACTCTCTGTCTCGCCAAGCTTATGTGTGTGAGCTCAGAATACTGCGAGGCTAACCTCCCTCTTCTCATCACCATCATGGAGCGCTCGGCCGACGCGACCGTCCGTTCCAACGCCGTCATCGCTCTCGGCGACATGGCTGTGTGCTTCAACCACCTTATCGACGAGAACACCGACTTCCTGTACCGTCGTCTTGCGGACAAGGATCAGTCCGTCAAGCGCACATGCTTGATGACGCTCACATTCCTCATTCTGGCCGGTCAAGTCAAGGTTAAGGGTCAGCTGGGCGAGATGGCCAAGTGCCTAGAGGATGAGGACCGTCGCATTGCTGATTTGGCGAGAATGTTCTTCACTGAGCTCAGCACCAAGGACAACGCCGTCTACAATCACTTTGTCGACATGTTCTCCTTGCTGTCTGCCGAGAAGGGCCTAGAGGAGGAGAGTTTCCGGAGAATCATCCGGTTCCTCCTGGGCTTCGTCGAGAAGGACAAGCACGCCAAGCAGCTGGCCGAGAAGCTTGCCGCCAGACTCACCCGCTGCGAGACAGAGCGTCAATGGAACGACGTTGCCTTTGCTCTCGGGTTATTGCAGCACAAGAACGAGGACATTGCCAAGACTGTCTCCGAGGGCTTCAGGGTTATTCAGCTTCAGGCGTAACGGGATGTGGACGAGATGGTGTAGGCTGGCCTTGTGGCCATGTAGTACTAAGGTCATGGGTCGGCGTTGATGGTTTTGCTGCTTCTGGTCGTCGGTTGGCTGTCTGACTTTGGGTATACCACTGCATGGATGATGAGACATAATGATGCTGATGAATCGATTCCTTATTCATTTCAATATTCTATTGACAGTGCTTCGCTGGTAACTGTGACTCTTGATCCTACTGTCCAGGTGCCTTTCTTTTTGCCATTTAATTGGTGTACAATCATCCTTGACAAGTAGACATCTCAAGCCAGCAATCCTGCGCCAAGAGGTTCCTGAGTAAGTACAAACACATCCCCTCCATCAATTTCAAACTGAGTCCCATTCATAACAACTCCATTCACCCGAATAACAGACTTGTCAAGACTCGTCACCATCGGCTCCGGCAAGTAAACCTTCCCCTTACTCCCAGCAGGACTCTCAATCTCCATCCTCAACATCTCGCCCTCAAACCGCCAATTGACAGCAACGTCTCCTAGCACAGTCGGATACCGCCCCCTCGCCCATTCCAACCCCAACGTCAGCGGCTCAACCTTCCACTCCGCGAACCCGGGCACAATAGTTTGTATGCCCAGCACGTAGCGACTCAGTTCCGCCGTCGGGCCTGCAGCCCAGCCGTGACAGAGGGACGTTACTATGCCTAGGCCGGGGGTTCCGTCTGGGTTTAGTGTTTCCCAAAAGCAGCCTGTGTAATTCTCGTGTTGTGGGTTGGCCATCGGCGCCCAGAGGGTTTTGAGGAGGGTTAGAGCTGTGGATGCGTCGCGGGCGGAGAGTGCTGCGCGGAGGTGGTATGATGATGCGTATGGACTGATTTTCTGCGCGAAGCCGGAGGGGATGGTGGAGTTCGAGAAGGCTAGCGGGCCAGCGGGAAGGAAGAGGTCTCTTGAAAGGGTTGAGAGGATTGAGGCGGTGGTGTTTGGTGAGGGGGAAACGCCGGCGAGGATGGCGAGGGCGTTTGCGTCTTGTGCGAAGCCTGTTTGCATGGTCTCGGAGAGGATGTAGGCGTTTAGGTTCTGATTCCAGAGGTTTGTGTTGATTGCGGACCGGAGGTTGTCTAGGCGGGTTTGGTATGTTGTCGTGTTTACGCCCGCGTCGCCGAGGAGGGGGAGGGATTGTTGGAGGGCGTAGGCGTATACTACGTTGAACTTTGTGACTACGCCGGATTGCGGTGGATCGTAGTAGTTCCAGTCTCCGCCAAAGGACTCGTCTGCGAGGTTGAAGAGGCCGTTGGGGAGGGTTTGGGAGTCGGCCCAGTCGAGCATTTTGGAGACTTTAGGCGCCCAGTGTTTTGCAAAGATGAGGTTCCCTCTCATTTCGTAATTTTGTGCGAGAGCGCTGAGGAAGTTGAAGGAGTAGCCGATGAGACCTGTGAGGTTCGTATTTAGGGGTTCCGTCAGGGGTGGTTGTTGGATCTTTGCGGTTGGAATGAAGAAGCCTGGTATTGCCTGGAAGGAACCCAGGAGGTCGAGGGAGCCGTCGATGAAGGATGTGCCGAAGGTGCTTGCAAAGGCGGCGCCGAGTGCGATGTCGAGGTCGCCTGTGTATGCGATTCTATCGCGCCGAGAGCCGTCTACGATTGTGTCGGCTGGGTTTGTGCCCATCATGAAGTCTGGGAGGAAGGATGGAGATGTCAGGGGGTTTGTATAGATTATTTCTCCGGTGGTAGTAGTGGCGGTGAGGTTGCGGAAGTAGGCTGCGTGTCCGAAGGAGGCGCCGAAGCCAAAGGAACCGAAGAAGCGGGAGGTTTGGGTTATGTTGAGGACTGGGAGGGTGTTAAGGGTAACGATGATGGACGTCATTGCTACGTCGATGTGGACAGCGTGCCAGTTTCCGAGGGTTGTGTTGGAAGGTAAGGGGGATGTTGCGAGGAGGGTGTCTAGGCTTGTTGCGCCGGCGTGGGCTGTGATGGTGTGGCTGTCCAAGTTAAATGAGATGTAGATACAGTTGTTGAGCGTGTCACATAGAACAGAGACGCCGAAGCCACCTTTGACGGGTTTGGCTTGGAGGTCGAGGCGGTAGTTGAGGAGTTGAGCGGCCACGGCACCGGCTAGTCCTTGCGATGCCTGACTCTCGGCGTAAGCTCCTTCATCTGAGACCTGGAGGAAGTCGGGGATGGAGTATTTGGGGATCTCGGTGAGTTGAACTGTTCGCGCTCCTGTGGTCCAGATGCGGGTGAGGTCTTCATCGGAGCACTCGAAGGATCCGGGGAGTTGCGCCACAGGCGTGGTTGATGTTGTTGGTTTGACGCCGATGTTGCGGAGCTCAAGGGAGCCGGCGGAAGAGAGGTTGAGTTTCTGGTAGCGAAAGGCGCCTTGGCTGAGGCGGTTTGTAATGAGTTGGGGAGCGGTTATGTTGTATTGGTTTACTCTATAGGTGTCCATTGCCGCGGCGAGAGATAGGGGTCCATCGCTCTGTGTTTCGTAAGTTCTTGATTCGTTCTCAGATTCAGGAACACTGAAAGGGTTGTGCTATTTACCATGTATAAGTCGAGTGCGGTCTTGCTTTCTGCGTAGGAAACTTCGAAGTTCGAGGTATCGCCAGAGGCAGAGATGACTTCAAAAGTAGGAAAGCCTTCAATATTCTCGCCATAGTCGAGAACCACGATAGAAGCAGTTGTCCCATTGGATGTGAGGGATGTAGTTCCATTGGAGCCAAAGATGATGGCATCATCGTTGGATGAGCTTGATGTTGACTTTTGAATCAGATGGCTTCGGGAACCATGCCGGCAACTAACTGAGTTCGCAAGGCAGAACAGAATAGCAGCTACTCGAACTCCTGTATTAGGTGACATCAGCATGGTTATAGTGTTTGAAAATGAATGACAACTGAAAATGGGCGACAACGGTGAGAGAAGCGAACGTGTTTCTAGATCGAAGTTCAAGATGATATCAAGGCGACCAAGTACCTGAGATTTATATACACGTCTTCTCTTCCAAAGAATTCGCCATCCCTAGAACTCATGCCATATACCTCGCCCCTGATCCGAGTTTGCGAATGAACCAAGCCGGAGTTGACGATCGAGGGTGGATTAACCCGAGAAACGCGAGGTTCTCGGACCAGAGTCTCGCACGCTCACCGAATACGCGGACCGAGGTCAGTGGCTAGTGTACGAAGCTTACGAGACGACGGCGGAGCTTTTTGTGGCTTGATCTTGCTAGTAGTCTCCAGAGCATGACGGCTCAGTAAGTCATAGATGCGAAGGTACGAAGTGCTCGCCAGTCATTCATTGTCTACCTAGTTGTGAACCCGGGCGACAGCCTACAGCCAAGCTGCCATCGCCGGAGGACTAAGTGAAGAACCCATTATTCGCCTGCTGAACGGCATTGCTTGGAAAGTTACTCTTTAGAATCTGCGTCATTCGCTTCGACTTACGTAAGATTATCTGCGGCTCACAAAATGGTCGACGACTCTTCTTGCTTCCTGCTTTATCACATTCAGTAGCGTTCATTGCTTCAATTACTATCGTTATGTTTACCCTCCGTAGCAGATAGGAAATGTTTCACCGGATAACCTCATAAAACCTTGACTGCAATCCTCAAAAACCAGCTTCTGGGAGAGATCATGGTAACCTTAAAATCATGGGCAGGGAATCGTGTCAGTGTCCGTCGCTGCTCCGGCGCCTCTACCCTGAATGAGAGCGAAACTCGGGAGCTTGGACCCACATCGCCGAACCTCAGCCGGTACTCCATCGGAGCTGGTGCTCGTATTCAGCCTGAGTGAGAGAACGAGTTTTCACTACAAGTTCAGTTGGTCACGAAGAACTTATGACCGTGGCCCTGCCCCCTTTTTGTGAATATACTTAGTAGTTCTTACGTCTTCAAATGTGGTTTCTGGTATGCTTTAGTTCGGGACGAGTTCTCAAGAAGGCTACACTCCACCCGGCTAAATCCTCAGAAGGTTTCAAGGTCTAACTTGTAAAATCACAGCGAAGATCATCGCGGGCCTTGTCACTTCGTCCATCCCTCCGTGAATAGACCGTCTGGTATGACGATTAACCAATTTTCGTGGGAAAGCTCCACTTTTACCTCGACCGAGACTCGGAGGCACCCAGGGAAGCATATCCACGCACACCCAAGGCAGACTTTACTCCTTGCTGAGATGCCAATCTGCCCGCAGCTAGGCGTTCCTCTGGTTATGCTGACCTTGGCGCCGTACACTGCAATCTTAACTCCCTCCAAGGTAGCGCCATCTGCTTGGAGCAAGCCATGACACCTCCTCATCGAAATTGCCTGCTTGCAGTATCTTACGTAGTTGCACAAGAGACCAAGGATATGGCATAGCCCGGTTCTTGCTGAATAAAGGCTTCCTCTAAAGCTGCCTTCCTCGATGTCTTATCCCCTACTGCGGCAACTCGAGTACACGCCATGTCACCCATCACTAGGTCCAGACTTACGTTCCACGTCTAATCTGCGCCGGTCTTGTCACCAAAGCCAAAGAGAAAGGTGACCGGGCCATTTTTCTGCAGGAAAACGAATCATAGGGCCTTGACCTTGTTCCGCAAGAGGGGATGCAGAGGTCTAGGAGCAGTCTGCCTCTGCTTACAGTGCCGAAGAACAAGCGAGCAGTCTCTATCTATTCAACTTCAAGCAGGTCAAATAGTACCGCTAGTTGAGGACTTTCCGTCGTCTAAACCGAAGCATCTTCGCTGGGCCCAAAGAGGTCTCTCTGGACGTAGATTCACTATTTCCTACGGCTAAACATCATCTCATGCCAGCCACACCCAACCGACTCAGATGCTTCTTAGTGGACATGGCATGTACACAATTATTTCATTCTTAGGACCGAGGGGTGGCAAGCTGAATGATCACGGGAGTAAGCAGCCTAAGTCACCATTACTACTAGCTGGTAAGCGTGCGCCCGAGGTGGTCTCCATTCTTCACTGCAAAACTAACTCATCATGAACGGACGAGAAGAAGTACCAACGGTTCCAATTCGCTCACGACAAAGTTTACCTGACGGTCTGCCTTCTTAATTTCTCCTGACGGATTATCTATGGCAGCAAGACTCTCTATTTACTCCGAGCTAGAGAACACATACTTGAGTAGACCCTCGAGGCAGGCAGATTCAATACCACCCTTACTACGTAGAAGCATCACTCGCTTGGTTACACAGGCCTTGTAATGTATCAAGAGTGCTTGTAGAGTGTTCGTGTATCAATTAGCTTCACAAAGCCAACGAAGTTTGGCTGAATAAGTTCAAGTTACTTGGCCTACCTCCTTCCTCTCAAGCGACTATCAGTCACGAGGTGTGACATGTCTCGTTGGATTACAACGATATGGACATGATAAACCCAAATGCAACAGGACCTTTGGAGCGGTTATGATTGACTTACATGCTTCGCGTCCTCATGTTCTAGCGAAACCTAGAACCTCGGAAGGCTTGACCCCCGTTTTCATCCAGAGAGCAATCTTTCCACAAAGTTTGTGTCGTCGACAACCCAACACCAAGTCATTCCTCGAGTTGGCGGCTCTCCTGAACCAATCAGGCTTACGCTTTGCCCAACGTGAGGCAACCACTACGTGTGACGCCATTGACAAGTGCAAAAACATGGCGATAGTCTCACTTTCAAACATAGAACCGCGCCCTCCGGCCGAGGTCATGCCCAATCAGACACGCGGAGATCCGCTTTTACCGCGAGAGAAGCCGCAGCTTCAAGAGGTGCGGAGCGCGAGTAGAAACTCATCGGTATCTCTGTGAGTGTGCATATATGCAGGCTGTGATGGACATCATGGCATGTCCAATCATATGGCCACCATATATGCAGTATTTGCTCTGTAGCGCTCGGTGATCTCCAAGGACTGCTGCGCCTCGACTTCACTGCAATCTTTAACCCCCCCCGAAGGCCTCAAGTACAGCAAGAGTGTAACCTTGGTTGAGCTGTGTTTTTCTGATTTGCTCTACATCAGGGCCACAAAAACGCCTAGTCGTGTGCCTGCATGCCAATTTGACATCCACATCCAATCAACCATTGATGGCCTCATTTACCTCCGTGGCGGTGCAAACCCCGGACCAATGCGGCCTTTCACTGCGGCTCTTTCACTGCGATTTTAACTCATCCCGAGGGATAAGAGACAAACACAACACCTCGAGCAGGCCATCCGGGTACTGTCCATCTGCTCCCAGATGCTTGGTTTCATCTGTTTGATTGGCGACGCGTTTGGCAAATCAATGAGCAGTTGAGTACCCGATGCCGTTGGCCTGAAGGGTCGCGTTATGGTTCCATTTCGGCCCAAGGCGTGGTGAAGCGCATGCTGCAGCCAGTATCCTGCTGGATGGTCGACATCATCATTGAACAAGTTGTCTTGGTTCTCTCCATCCCGAAAAGTATCATATACACACGCCGGCAATCTGCCAGCTTCTTTTGCCCCAAATCTTCTTCCTCTCCAACATCTCCTCTCCAACCCCTTCTCTCTTCCGCCAGATACAAGTATGGAAAATCTAGTTCTTGCTCTGCGGCGCAAGAGCAAAGGTAGGACGAACGAATCTGTATATCGCAAGTCAGCTGTCTTCTTCCAAATTTCCATAAACAACCATCCTCTCCCAAGGAAGAGTCGGCAAGGGGGAAGGGGCATGTCAACATACCTCTCGTTGTGGTAGACCTTGGTGTTCTCGCCCAACAGCTCCTTCTCTCTCGCCTGGTCGGCGTACCACCTACGGACCTGGTCGCGGTCCTCCTCGGCCTGGAGGAGGGGAATAATGTGAATACGCGCCCACATCTTCTCTCTCGCCAGCTCGCTGTGTCTGGTTAGCATTGCAATCCTCGAGACCATGTCTCCCGTGATGGCTCTTATACCCCCTCTGATGTTTGTTCGTCGTTGCGTGCTTCCTGTAGTCGAGGTGCCTCAGTGCCCCTCATTGAGCAGTAGGGCATCTCGTCTGCTAGATCGCCCGCAACTCCGTTCATAGTCCAGATAGAGGGTATTGCAATCGACGTGTCGGGCGTCACTGGGTCGCAACGTACTTGGATTCTCGGATACCCTTGGTCAAGTGGTACCATCCGTATCCCATCACCAGTCCCATACCGAGCAACATTGTGCCGGGGCGGAATCCACGGGCGGGCAGGTTGCGCTGTTTACAATTATCAGCATGATTCCTTCGGCAGTCTGTGGTCCCTCGTCGCCTCTTCGTCGTTTCCCAGTGCGTGATCCAGAGCCCAGATATCCCTTCCTAAGCAATCTCGTCTGGTTCCAATTCGGCATCCTCGGTCGGAGGCCCAATTCGACAGTCGACGGCGTCCAGTCCAAGTGTTCCTTCTCCCAGCTGCTTCCTCTTGCCATGTCGCTATTGCCATCAACAACTCTCGCCCGTTCGACCCGGCAATCCCTTCTCAAGTCCTCCTCTTGCGACTCCCTCTCCTCCACGCTCCCTCAATCCCTCCGCCGCGCCAAAGCAACTCACCTTGTACTGCACAGCCTGGTAACCCCCCGCAGGCGGCATATCCTGAGGCATCCTGTCTCAATCGTTTCCTACCGACCCAACGCGGTCGGCTGCGCTCGTCTAGAGGGTGTGTATAGTTTCGTCGAGTGACTGGCGTCGGATCAATTGCCCCTTCGTTCGTCAGGGAGTCAATTGAATTGCGTATCGAACAGACTATTGACGTCGTTCGAGAGATCGGGGGTATCGGCGTCGGTTCGACGGGGTCGTGTGGGTTGCGATGCGATATGGTGGTCGTCGAGCTCGAGATTCCAGGACAAGCTTTGGCCTGGGGTGCCTCAGGTGATTGTTTTCGGGTCGATGGTGATTCGCTCAATTGGCCGACCGATTATGTAAGGCATATTGTGGACCCATTCAATATCCCTCACCGAGATTACCCCTCGGTGAGCAATTCGACACCACTGGCAACTCACAGTGTCACTCAACTTTAGCCATGAAAATGCTGTTGGAGTTGAAATATCGAACAGGCCATAAATTTCAAGTGGCTAGATATGCACCGACCCAATACCGTTTCGTCTATTCACCACCTCAGCGTACTGTATTGAATCCTACACATATTTGCACATCTCAACTCCATGCCATGCTTCGCCAACGGAAAGGCTGGGGTATAAACCGAATAAACCATAGCCAACCAACTTTTTCTTTCTCACTTCCCCACCTTCTTCCTCACTTTTGCGGCCTCCCCTTCCTAGCTTCTTTTTATATGCACCATGCCTCTCGCTGCACGGTGGTCAGGAGCACTAGTCCTCCCCGGCGGCCGCGAGCTCGGCCTCGAGGTCTGCCTCGAGATCGTCCTCGTCAAAGTCGTCCACTCCGTTCGCAGCGGCGCCGTCCGGTATGAGCGCGACATCCTCCTCGTCGCCCGTAACTTGAGGGGTAGGTAGGCTGCTCGATTCGTTGTTGTCCTCGACGTTGGGAGTCCGTACTGAGCTCAGCTTAGAAGCACCACGGCTCTTGGCAATGCGTTGCTTCTTGGACAGCGCACTTCCACCTTCGTCGGAGGCCGTGTCGTCGTCCATGGCTTTCCTCTTGGTGCCGCCAGTGACCGGATTTGAGGAGTCTTGGGATGATGGCAAGTCTTCGCCGGCATCGGTATCGCCACTACGGCTTTCCGTGTCGGCATCTGAGCTGTCGTCGTCGCTTCCGAGGAACTCCTTCATCTCGTCATCGACGCCTTCCCAATCAAACGACTTCAAGCCGTCTATCGGACTGACTTGACCGTCCTCAAACTCCAGCATCATACTCTCTTCATCCCCGTCCTGATCGCCTTCGTCTTCGTCAGAAGCATCATCGTCTTCCTCGAGTACACGTTGCTCGCCCGTTTCATCAATGATAGTCAGGTGCGGCCGTGAGTCATCGCCATCGGCATCAGAAATTGTGTCTGCATCCGTAGACTCGGACAAGGCGAGCTGACGCCGGTCTGCTGGGTGAACTTCGACCAAGTAGGGTGCTTCGTCGACACGTTGCCACTGGCTGAGGCTATCAGATAGCCAATTTTGGCTAACAATCTTAATACTCGAAATCTTGGCTGCCTGCCTGACCTTTTGAGTCCGCGGGCGAGACGTTGAAATAACGAGATGAGTGACCTGCTTGGAAACCCTGGTTGAGATTTGAGCACCAAAGCTCATGGCTTGGATGCCAATCTCGGACTGCAGGACGTCGACGCCGAGGGGAACGAGGCCAGACAGGACAATCGTAGTGCCTTCGAGGGTCGCGGCCTTCATCGTATCGAGGACTTCGCCAACGTCTGGAACGGCGTCGAGATCGATGCCGTCGTCGCCCGATTTCTTCCGCGGGGCAGACTGTGTAGGTGCGGCGGCGCGTTTCTCGTCGTATTCGCTATAGAATTTGTGGTGTAGTTGAGTGAGGTGTTGTTGTAAGTATTGCAGCTCGGCATCGTCGTCGCGGAGGACTTGCGATCGATGTTGTACTGTCATGATATGTGCGCCATTTTCGGCCTCCTGTGTGACCTGTTCGTTTTGTTCATCTTCTTTGTCAAGTGCCTCTTGCATGTGGAGAAGCGGCCTTTCCTTGATCTGTTGTTCCAACAATTTTTCTTGCTCTCCGCTTTGTGCTTCCTGCAGGATCTTGTCGTCGCCGCTGCTCATTTTTACCAGTTCGTCAATGGCAGACACCTTGCCATTTGGTTGGTCGGCTGTTGACGCCTCGCTCGTCGGCGCCTCGCTTGTTGGGGCTGCTGGTGTTGGCTTCGCTTCGGGTGCGGGTGGCGCGGGTAGAATATCTTGTCTCTTGGGGAGGAAACTTGAGTTGATATCGCCGATGCCCTTGAAGAAATCGTATGGCACAACCTTGATCAGATTGGGGCGATTGCTCGGCCACACATCTGCTCTGTCGTCGATAATGACCACCATATTCGTGTTCACTGGGAATAATCGCTGGAGACTCTTTGATATCATGCTTCCGTTCTCGTCACGGCTGATGACGCGGTTGCCAAAGAGTTTCTGCTGAGGGTCGACAATCTTGGCAATGTTGAGAGCGTATGCGCGCGTTCCCATTGTGTAAACGTGCAACTCGTAAAGCTCGGCAACCTTCTCGAGGAACTCGGCAAGACCGGGACGCATCTTGATATAGTACCAGCAGCCGGATGTGACCATCCCCCGGGGGCCTTCATCATTGAGCTGGAACTTCTTGACGTCCTTGACGGCATTGTAATTGGGATTTGACGGGTCCTCCATCCACTCGCCAACCGTAGGCTCGATACAGGCGTGGATAATGGTTTGGTCGAGATCGACCACGAGACTCAGCTTCCGTTGTCGTAGCAGACGCTTCTGGGTATCGGACTCGGCACGCGCAGCCAGGTCGCCGCTGACCATGAGGCCGGTCTGGTCGTGTGTCATGTTGATAGTGGCGCGCTGGGTATCGCGTTCGGCAGTGGCCCAGTTCACCTCGGTCATGTCCTTACCGCAGATGGCGCACAAGCCCTGGAACTGGATCTCGTGGGAGCAGGCCTCCTCGACCATCATGCACGGCGCGTCGCGCGTGAATGTCATGCCTTCCTTGAGACGCCATTCCTTGAGTGTGCCTTCGGCCGGACTATCCCAGCCGACGACTGTGGTTTCCTCCTCTTGCCAGGTGTTGCCGGCGATGGGGTCGCCGACCTCGCGCATCCATTTGAAGGAGTACTCTAGCACGCTCTCCTGTTTTTGGACAGTGTCGCCGGGGCGCTTGAGGAGTTTTGTAATGGTGATCGGGTAGCGGAGTCGCGCTCCTAGTGAAAGTAGCTTGCCCATGATGACGGCAGGCTACTGGGAGGGTTTGGTCTAAAAGTCTGTCGCGATGGGAAAAGGTCCAAGGTCAGCAAAGTGGGCTTTGAAACACGCGCGTGCGCGCAAGTGGATGGCAAAGTGGAAAACGCAAGCAAGGATTGGAAGAAGACGTGACACAGCGCGCGGTAGGCGGCTGCGAAGAGGTCGGGTGCTTCAATGACGTCTCGAAAGTCGAGGGAGGAGGTGCGACGAACCTAATGAGACTCCCCCAGTAACAATCTGAGAAGGTGCCGGTGTAGTGGCCAATCCCATTGCCCCGAAGCTGACGAGGGGAGTGTTTGACGAATACGCAACAGACGGGGAAGCTCTGGAGCGTTGCGTTGGGATGAGATGGACGGATAGGTGTAAGATGGGTGAAGAGCTATGCAAAGCTGTTGTCGTGGTTGGTTGTTGGTGGAGAGCGGCAAGAAGAGGAAGAAACGCGTGGGAAGGCCGTATTCTTCTTAGCCTTGACTAACGTACTAGCTGAATATTCCTCAAGTGCCCTAGTCGCAATTGAGTTTTTTGGTGACGTGATGCAATTGAACGGTATGCCGGATCCTTTCGCGCGAGATGTTCGTTTGCTTGACGCGTGCTATCCGTAACGTGGTGGGATGAAGTCGGAGCTGGTCTCGATGCGAATCGCAATGGAAGTTGCTGATGCTCTCACTCGCTTGGGGTTCGGGGGGTGTGGAGATTTTGGAGCTCGGGGATTTCGAGTGGAGGCGGGCACCTTCAGGTCTGGACCGAACCGTGACGTACACCGCAAGCAGGGCAAGGTGAAGGCAAGGTGAAGCGTGGTAAAGGGGAACCAACCGGGAAGCCCAGGCGAAGCCGCGAGACGGGGGTGAGGTGGGGTCGGCTGTCGGGGAGCACTGACCACTTGGGGAGCTGGAGCGGGTCCGGGTCGATCGGGGTTTCGCAGGAATACTTTTCCGGATGCAGCTTTTTAGGCGGCGGGATGAGTGGGGCGCGGTGCTGGAGTGTCCCGTTGGGCGGGGCAGAGTTTGCCGAGGACTGGCAGCGGAAACAGTGAACGGTTTGTGTTGGTGGTGTTGGCGCTGATGGTCTTGGTGTGTGTACCTGTTCTGGCAGGATCAAGTACCTCGGTGTCTTCGGCAGTCCGTTGCTTTGCCAAGGCCTCGAATGTTTGGTGATGGAACGTTGAGGTACAGCAGCTGCAAGTTGATCTGGATTTTACGTTTGTGTCTGTGATGATACCGTACTCGAATGCGGGTAATTCAGAATTATCTCTTGCTGTATCACCTTCAAGGCAGCTGTGGTGTGATGTCTGGAGTATGGAGTGCTGCGATGCTGGACAGAAGGAGGAGAGAAAAAGGTACAAGGCCTGAGCTGTCGGGGTACAAGGTAAAAGCTGGTAGTGTCACTGCTGGTCGCTGGCAGAGGGGGAAAAGGCAGCCTTTTTGGTGTCCGTCAACCACTATCACCTGAGCCACCCCCTTCTGAAAGAGTGGGATGCGATGGCCTATTTGTACCTGCTGTAGCACCCCAGCCTGCTTCTCCGTGATGCAGCCATCCTCCTCTCCGCTGATGGTGCCAGCCGGCTTCAAGTGGTGGCCGCCTGGCGACCCCTGCATGAGAGCTTCACGAATCATCCCCTTGTTCATTCCCCAACTCGTCCCTCACTCACCCTCACCTCACTCACTCACTCCGCTTTGCTCTCAATCTTCTTTCTTACTCTGTCCAGTCTGTCAGTCTCTTGTGCAGTACCAGTGCATGAGAAGTCTC